AGTGGTTCTGAAATGTAACGACTCAGCCAAAGTCTTATGGAAAGTTTAGAGAGCCAGGAAGTAAACCTGGTTCTCGTCAGCAATTATAATTAATCTTAGCCTTCCTCTGCCCCTCCCCGAAGGCTGCACCCAGCTCTGGGCATCCTCTCCGAGCACCGTGTGCTGTGCTCCTCTCTGGTGAGCTGTTCTGGAAGCAGATCTTAGCGGAAGGCAATTAAAAACCACTTAAATGTAGAAAACAAGGTGGGAGACAATGTGGGGAAACCGCACGCTGAGAGCAGGCTCTGCCACATCACCATGAGTGCTGAGGTCTGGTTTTAACATGAAAAGGGGTTGCCCCTGGAAGAGGAGAGCAGCATGGCTTTTCCCCCAGCTGCAGCACCACTGCTCCATGGTGCCTGGGGAATAAACACCTGCTCCATCAGGCTGCTGCGCCATCACCCTCCCAGCTGCAGACTGGTTCCAGCTTCCTCCGTGACCTGCTTGTTTTAGAGCTCTGCATTTGCTCCTGGTCCCCATCGTGCTGGTGATGTGGGTCCTGCCCTTCTCCTGGCTACGCTGCTCCTAGGGTTTGATCTTGGCTCTAGGCTTTTGGAGGAGGAAATCACTCTGTGCCCAGTTTAAATGAAAGATGGGGGGGCACCTATCCTGGCTTGATGGGAGCTGGAGCCCAGTGTGTGCTTTTTGCCTAGCAACAGTTAAAAAAAAAAAATTATTCATCATCAGACCTCAAAGCACTTTACAGAGGAGAGGGATCTTATTCATCAGCAGACCTCAAAGCACTTTACAGAGGAGAGGGATCGTGTTACCTCTGCTTTGTTTTCTGCAGAGGGGGAAACTGAGGCACAGAGGACGTGTCACAAGTCTCAGGCTAGTTCAGCAGCCTGGCTTTCACACTTTGGTAAGGCTACCAGCCAAGGTCCTGCCATTGTACGGGCCATCTCGCAGGTCCTCCTCATCACTTTGCATGATCTTATTCCAAATGCCGTGTGCTCCAGCTGCTATGGGCGATCAGCTGCTGTGTTGGCTTGTGCGGACATCCACAGAGCCCCGGGACAGCCCACGCGTGACCATGCCCTGCAGTGGCACGGCCAGCATTGGTGCATCAGACAGTAGGTGCCCACTGGGCGCATCTTGCTGCGCCCAGCTTTGTGGAAGTTCTTTGCTACCGTTTCCAAATTTATTTGTAAATTTATTATTGTGCTTTCCAGTAATTCCAAGATTCCCTGGGTCTATTTGGGCGTTGCAGGTGGCAGCCAGTCTGCACGGTGTTTGTGAACTGCTGTGCAGGAATGTGATCTGCTGGGATCGGTTCGGCTCCCACCTAGTGACCCAGGAGACAAGGTGATTAAGGGACTGGTGGCAAAGGGGTTTCTCATAATTCCTCTTCTCTCTGCTTTCTTTTCTTAAGCCATCTGGCTGGAACCCCTGGGGAGCGGCTGAAGGATGTCCCTGCCTGGACGCAGTCGTTTCAGTCTGTTGGTGCTGGGGAGGCACCTGGGGAGGTGCTGAGTCTCACAGCCAGAGAGCAGGTAAAGCCCCTTGGCCTGACAAGTTTCCTCTGAGTCCAGATTTTAGGGGAGTGACCCTGGTGATATCACCTAGGTTTTATTCCCAGATTTCAAAGCACTTTATAGAAGAGGTTGTGTTATTATCCCCATTCCATACCTGGGGAGAACGAGGCACAGGAGGGTTATGTGGCTGTGGTAAGTGGCAGACACAAAGCCCAGTGGTCCTGTGTCTCCCATCCAGGGCATCATATCTGTGACATGGTGCTCCCTGATTTCTAATCACACTAATTTCAGTGTGATTCAGGACTTTTAGCAACTCCGGCTTTGCCACTAGCTTTGCTTCCGTACTACAATGTCCCTGTCCCATCACGGCAACCAGCAACCTTGATCCCAGGGACTTGGGGCCCAAGGCAGTGATTTCTCACCAACCAGCTGTGAGAAGATCCTCCCCAGCCTGTGAAATCCAGCTGCCTGCAAGGCAGGGCCATTCAACTGCATCCCTGGCATTTCCCTGAGTTTGTGAGAAGTTTCACGACCTACTGGCATTAGGGGAAAAGTCTCCTTGAAACTCCTGTGTCTCCGAACACCACTGCACCTGGAGATACTGGAGGGGACTTTGCTCCTTTCTGCTGTGCTGGGATGATTCAGCTGGAAGGTAAAACCAGCCTCCCCAGCCCGTAAGTCTGCAAAAAAACCCGAATGGAAGGTTCTTCCTCGTTGCAGTCATGCCGAGCAGGCTCCTCTGGGCAGTGGAGTAATGAGACCCAGCCAAGGCTTGGCAGTGCTGCCTTTTGCCTACGCTCCCTTTTCCAGCCTCAGGCTTAAGCCCATGCCTTGGCTTTCCCAGCCGGAGTGTTCCTGGGTTTCCATCACCGTCCCCTGCAAGGACACCTGTTGTTGACTCACCTATGGGACTCACATGGGACATAATTCCTGGAAACTGTCTCTAGGTCGGATTTGCAGAGTCATCTGCAGGGTTTCACGTTACTAGAAGGGAGCAGTTTGTTTTGTGAACAAACATTTCTCCTCACCACCTCCTGCTTTCTCTTCCTTCTTCGCCACGTCAGGGTTGTGCGGGACGCTCCTTTCTGGGCAAGGGATCAGGTTTAGAATGTGCCAGATGCCCTGGTTTTAGGATGCAAGCACCTGGAAGGTCTTCTGGTAGCTCAGTCTCTGTCCTCTAGCTGCACCCCATGTTTTTGATGATAGCAAAAATATAAATCGACCTATTCATATGTTTTCTATATACTCTGTTTCTCATGGCATTACCCAGCCACTGGCTGTGGTGCAGATAAGGAGAGCAATGGATGGGGG